CCAAGAGTTGTATCCTTTACTTAACAAAATAAAGTTGAAGAAGACAGATCACCAGGGTGTGTGTCTCAGGGTAATTGCCAAATATATTCACAGGTAATTTACTCCCTAAACAGGACCTATCATTTATTTTCTCTATTAGCCTGTACAATAGAAAGAAAAACTCTTAATGAAGAAGCAGGACTTGCCATAGGAAGTACTGCCTTCAATTAGCTGGAGTGTAAACTGCCAACATGTATACTCTGGGGTTTAATAATGTTAGAAAACTATCAATTACTAGTCACTCCAAAGAGGTGTAAAAATAACCTTAACGAGATACACATTCCCAAAACTTTCCAGAAAAAAAGAAATGAAGAACTTACTATCACAGAATGTTTCGTTGCCAGACCACTTTCCAGTTTCAAGACAGGTCACTATGTTTGACTTCCCTGGAATTTGTTTATAGCCCTTATTACATGAATATGTCACTTTGGTGCTCTTGGCAAATGTGGTGTGTCTACTCAAGTCTGGTGTGGCATTAGGAATGTCTGGAGGTGGACCGCAGTCTCCTGGGAAGATAAGAGAAGGTGTAAAACAGAAGCTGGCAAGTAACTTTCTTTCCCCAGACTTGGAATAAGAGAAGTAGCAATGGCTCTTAACTTCCTCCCAGTGCTAAACCTGCTCTACAGGAACTGGCAATGCCTGGGCTCCCGTGAACACAGGACAAAAACTAAGTGGGGAGTAAATAATTCCTTCCCGAGTCCCCACTAGAGTCATTCAGAATCTACTCAATATCCACACCGATACTGCAGGGAGGCACGAGATAAGACACCCTAGTGTGTGGTGCAGGTCACTGCTTGCAACTGGACTCTCACCGCGCAGGTGGTCAGACATCTAGCCTCCACCTTAAGAATAAAAGAGCCAGAAGCAGGGTTGGAGAGTCATATTCAACCCTTCCTCTTGGTGTCCCCACGGACTCAGATCGATTGTGTGTGGGGGTGGGGGGGGGAGGATCCAGTCACAGCCCAAATACCCCAGCACTCCATACCCATCCCTCCCACAGGCCGCCTGCACCTAGCAGCGGAGCCCCCCAGTTACTGGGAACAATGCCTGTTGAGCATGCGCTCTCCTGGCGGGCAGCCAGCTGGCCATCACAGCTCGCGCCCCGCGCGTGGCCACTCACCGTGTGCAGTTGGTGAAAGCAACAGCAGCAGCAGCAGTGACAACAGCAGCAGCAGTGGCGGCGGCAGCGGCGGCGCCCGTATTCCGGTCGCCCGCGCACAGACCATAGCCCCAGGTAGAAGAGACCGTGCTATGCTGAGGCTCAAGCTGTTTTGAGCCGCGGTTAATTGAGCGGCTGCGGCGGGGCGGGGCGGGGCGGGGCGGGGCCCACGTCACCCTGGGTGGGGCAGCCAGTGTGCAGAGGGCGTTCCCTCTTTGGTGAGGGCGGGCACCGGCTTCTAGTGTCACCCCCGGGACCCAGCTGTCTGGTGGGCCTGCTGTGACTTAAGTCAGGTGGGAGTTGGATTTGTGGGGGATTGTCTTATAAAGGAGGGCGCTTCGCTCCCCAGTACTCTGTGCCAGCACTCTGCTACAGCAGAAAGCTACTCACACTCCCAACTCTGGTCTGCTGAGTGTTCCCAAAGCTAGGAGTAGGAGCAGTGGAATTCCTGAGCCAGTGGGAGCTGTGAAACAGGGAAACACCCAGGACCTCTGTAGCTTCAGCTGGAAGATGTCAGATGGGAGGGTGGGAGCTGGTGACCAACTGTGTTGTCTCCTAGGTCTCACCATGGTGTCAAAACGGAAAGTAGGATAGGATCCAAGAAAACAAGTGTAGGCTAACAAGGAGCTAGAGATGAGCCTGCCAGAACCCTGTTGCAGACAACACACAGAGGTCTAGGGAG